CGCAAATTTCAACTTTGCTCTCGCGGCGGGGCAATATACATCACGCCCGCGAACGCATTGCAACCTTATTTGTAACCGAGTACCAAGTAATTACAATTCTGAATCCTTGCTAGACGTTTCTGACATTTCAATCAGCACAAATTATTTGTATGCGTATAATTTCGCTACCAGTCTATCGGCGAGATAAAATCACCATCGCTGTTCATTATTTATGTCACTATCCCGCATCGTTCGCCACCGCCTCGCGCCTTTTTTTCTACAATATATCCAGTAAGATAGCCATCCGAGCGATCGAACGTGCCCCAGTTATCGGACATTCTACACAATTCTTTTTGCTCTCGCCTGCCATTATTATCATCGTGATTTATTCAAAAACAGCGCCTCGCGACACTGAAATAAACACTCCGAACCGGTCCAAGCGCCTCGTAAGAATTAATTCACGTCTCAATGGCGCGAAATTACTTTGGTCCTCCTACTAAATTTCTTACAGAATGCGTTTGCGATCCCGTTTCGTAGAGACTTCGATGCTCGATGAAGGCAGCGTTCGGGTTGCTCACGGCGTAAAAATCTGCAATTCCTTTTGGTTCCGGAGAAGAGAAACGAGCAGCAACGGCGACAATTGGAGAAACGAGTGCATCGATTAAACATCACTGGCTGGGTCAGTATCATCGGATCAGGTCCCGAGCAGCCTACAATTACGATGCAGTTCGTGGAGTTAATTGGCGAATTCCACTGGCCGGTGAGATACTGCCGCGCGCCGGGCGAAAGAAACTTTATAAACTTTTCCGTTTATCTGAGCGAGCCACCGAAGAGATATGATTTGGAAGGAACGCGAATTATCGCGCGAATTTCTCTCCCCCCGCGCGGGGAGGGGGCGTTAATCGTCGCCCGTACTGATAATGAGATTTTGAACGAGGCCATCGGAAAACGCGTGCGCCCTAAAATTACCGAATATAAAGAACGGTTGACGCATATTTCTGTCGAAACTCGTCGTACGTCGACTGTTGCATCAAAGTGCGGTTTTTCTTTTAATTAGGATATACATCGCGTCGGTCAAGCTCAACGTAAATTGCCAGCAAATGGTATTTATGAATTCCGTAACTGTAAGTATGAAATCTGAAACCTGTCAAAATGGGCCCCGTAAATCCAGTGTTCACTCGGTTGATAAGTGTTACGTGTTTTCGTAAAGAAATATTCACTTATTCCGGGTGTCTAATAAGTCTCGAAGACGGAAGTCGCTTTTAACAATTTTTATTGTAACGATAGAAATTCTCGAGCAAAACATACTCTTGCCTCATTGTTCGCTGTTCATTATCTGGGTGGAATAAATCCAAATACAGCCGTTACGGTGTTTTCTATTAGGAACTGTGTAAAACAAGAATTATTAAAGAACAAAACACGCAGGAAATTACGCTACCACGGTGTTGTCGGAGTTCACCTTTTATACGATGTTCCAACGTGTAAACGAGGAGGTTGAACGTGTTCGATTTCTAAAGTTCCATGTAAATTCATACGTAAGATTGGCGTCGACGAAGTAGAAGCATTCACAAGGTTCACGCACAACGACGTAATATACAATGGGTAAAAGGAAGATTAGCTACATGCAACGTTCAGCTTTTATCGTTCGTGAATAAATTCACCCTGCTCCCAAAGAGCTTACCCGTAGCCGTGTATTATTAATGAAAACTCTTTCTCCGATTCTCGCGTGGAAATTCGCAACGGTGAAAACAGACGCTAATTCTTTGGCGCGAATGGAGCATCAATCACGGAAGTTGGGAGTCACGAAAGGGTTGGAACTTCGAAGGAACTCGCGCTTTTCGAATCTAGATCCGCGTTTTCTTTCGCGAAATTTTTATTCTGGACAGAAAGCAATCTCGACCGGCGAGGAAGTAAACACGAGGGCCGGAGGAAGAGAGTCGCTGGACGACGCGAGGGGACGGAAATAACGAGTCGAAGCGAAAGCAGCGCGTCGCCTGCTCGTAGACTCGACACAAAGCATCCGCGAACATTTCCCGGGAATCCTTTTCTCTCGAAAAACACGGAAGGAGTCATAAAAGCCTTGGACCCGGCACTTTCGTGAAAGCGCACGAAAAACCTGAGACCTTTTTTTTTTTTTACAGCCGAGCAATTCGAAGGGTCGTTCGTTTCTTGGGAACGAATGGCCGCACCCTGGACTAAAATACAAATTATACCGAACCTACCCCGCCAGATATAGAAATTGGCGCCCACGTTTTTTTCCCTACCTGACCAAAAACTTTCTACTTTCTACTTTCCACTACCAGTCCACCCCCTTTGAAATCGTCCTGCGGCGTTTTCACTTTTTTCACGCCACCGAAAGTTGGCCGGTAAAAAAATGAATTTTGTTTTCAAAACGTACGAGACTTTGGATCGAGGAAGCGTATTATTCCGACTGTATCATGCCCCACAGAGAAATATGGCGGTGCAAGTGTCATGACTTCGAGCCGCATGGCGGCATCATGGTCGTAGAAATGTTTATATGTTATGGTCGAACGAATACGGAAACGCATACAAGCGTGTTGCAAGAAGCTTTGAAGTCATCAATACATAACTCGTTCGAACCGGAGTATGAGGACTATGGTTTTCAACGAGACAATGCTTCTTGTCATGCTCCAAAGAAAACCAAGGAGTGGTTCGCTAAGAATACGTAATATACGTACCCAATAGTTTCGAGCGTGTCTGTAGCTCATAGATTTGGAAAAACAGGTTTAAATAAACTTTTCCTCGGACGACCGTCGTCCTGGTGAATTAACAGCGAGCGCATTGAACGTGCACAGGGCAGTTTAAACGCTCGGTGGACTACGGTCGAGGCGTCTACGGTGCTCTTTAACGATCGAGACGAGAAAATTGGAGGGCGTTTCGTTAACGTCCGCGATATCCGCGGTAGGCGAAAATATTAAAATCACGATGGAGCAACATTTCAGAGGTCGGCCGTTGCCGCGGCAACCCCTTGAGATGCAAGAAGGTTCAACGGGCTCGAGTTAAATGCACGCAAACAGAATAACTTAGGGAATTATGAAGGCGCACGCTCGCAGGTGGTTTATCCTCATTAAGTGTACCGGCTAAACTTAATTTTAAAGGCCGGGGAACGGCTAAAAGCCACACGCCCGCCATTTGTAACACTCTTTAGTCCCGACATTTTCTTCAGGATCCCGTAACTTTCCGCCGATGATATATCAAGGCGTAATGCGAGCTCACAGCGGCGGGGGGGAACGGGTTGCTCAACGCCCAGGGAAAATCCATTACGTTTTCGGGGTCGTTTCAACCCCTTCGAATTTAGGTTACGAAGGCCCTCCACCCAACTTCGGACTTCCTACGATCGCTGCTTCGATTTCGAATTGCAAAGAGTTTGAGTCGATCAGAAAATGACTACAGCCTCAATTTTCAAAGAGTTTATTATGAGAGCATCAAAGAAAATTGCATTACATTTGTAGAAGTGCAGGATCGCTACTGGGCTATCCAGTTTTCATTTCTGGGGAAACTCGAAAAGAATTGTTTATTCAACAGACACTGCTAGTGTTGAAATGCATACGAGGCTGCCAACGAGTCAAATAAACATCTAGGATTGTTGAAGGATTGAGCAATTGTATGACACGACGACTGCAGTCTTGCATTCGGACCGAAGGTGGCCATTTCGAGCACTTTGCATGCAGAGAAGCAGTTATGCGTTGCTAGAACACAAAAACGACTAACATGGAAACAGGGTCGAATAGCCACAAGTTTATCAGATCTTTTTTCACCGACTCAGGTCTGTACATTAACTCTAGAACACTACACTTCGTGTTTAAACGCGTTAATATAATTGTGGGATGAAAGGCTACTAAATAAAACGCTGAAAAATTTGGAATAATATGTACGCATATGCATACTTTTCGTGTGGGTGTCAATTCGTTTGTCTCGGCAGCCGAAACATGTTTGCTTTAACGCTTAACCGATTTTACGAGCTGGTTATACCGTGGCCCGCGTTATAAGGGGCCCATAATAGCAAGCAATTGAGATGATTGTCGATTTGTATATTCTGTTTCCAACCGCACCGCACATTGCGGTAGAAAAGTACCCTGCAACCGTATAATCAACGTTTTGTCTGTATCACTTTTGCTACGTGACAGAAAAAGAAAACGTAATAATAACACACTTGGTGCGGCACAATACACCTGCGCGCTGTTTCGTGGTGTATGTAGTTCGCTAAGGGGTCCGGACATTCTTCCGAGCAGCGTTGCGAAGTGTTTAAGAAATATTTTATATCGAAATTGAAATATTAAATACATCATTAAACGACAAACGAAGTCTTCGAAGCAGAGATCGTGGAATTAGTACGATAGATCGTCATTTATAAGAAATTTGGACAGCGACCAAAGCCCCGTAAAATGGATTCCACAGGGAATTATCAATGCCGGTATCCAACGAACATTTGCACCGCGCCAAGAGAAAGAGAAATTAATCGGTTGGTACAGAATCAGTGTCACCGGAGATGAAGAGTGGGTGCAATATATCAGTCTACGAGGTAGAAAACAATGGCTGCGGAAGAGACGTCGCAGTCTTCGTTCGAGATTTAAACTTTCAACAAGGCTGAGGAAGAATCTACTTTGCATTTTTAATACAGAGTATTCCGCGAGCCGACGATCTCTTCCTCCATCGTCGGGTACTCTGGATAAAGAACACGAGTGTTCGAGAATAATGGTCGACACGGTCTTGATTAATAAACACGATATGTTCCGTTGTTTAACGTGTTCGAGCCGGCCGCGAGGACGGCGTTACTTATGGAACGCCCGGGCCGAAATTGGCCGTCGAACAGGTTAAACGGTCCCAAAGGAGGAACATCGAACGAGAGAGACGAAGGGATCGGTAGAAAAAAAACAAAAAAAAAGAAATGATGGATAATAGAAACATCGGTATCGAAGTCACTCACCTTTAATATAGCTGTGTACATTGTGGTGCTAGCAGAGGGTGGTGTGGATTGGTGGTGGGATGGTCAGGGGGGCTCCGGTGCAGGGCGTACCCCTAGTTGGCCCCCTCTGGTCCCCCACCGGCCGCTTGCTGCTGATGCGCAGCCGCGGCCGCTGCTGCCGCTGCCTTCTGCGCCTGCGCCTGCTTCTCTTGCTCGTTCAGCTCCTTGATCGCCTGTATCTCCTTCTTCAGCTTCATCCGCCGATTCTGGAACCAGATCTTGATCTGCCGTTCCGTCAGGCAGAGCGAGTGTGCCATCTCGATCCGCCTCCGCCTGGTGAGGTAGTGGTTCGTGTGGAATTCCTTCTCCAGCTCCAGCGTCTGGTAGCGCGTGTAGGTCTGTCGGCCGCGCCTGCGCATTCCGTTCGCTCCTGCAACCAACAAAAGCACCAAACGTTCAAACGAGCTCGATCGCGTGTCTTTCGGGCTCGTTTCGATTCCGGCCCCCCGATTCCACGGGCACCGACTATCGGGGTACCCGGTCTTCCGGCGTACACCAACGCCTCCTGTCCGCTCGAGAGTTTTACTTCCCGCGATCGGTACATAGAATAACAAACCGATTCCAACGCTAAGGGTCCCGTTCTCGAAAAACTCACGAGCGGACACGCGGCTTATCAACGGCGAACAACGTTCGCGATTCAGCTGGTATTTTGTTAATAGAATAAAATTTGAAAATAAAAGTTGGCGATCACGGTGTACCTCTTCGATCGGTTGCTCAACAGCGAAGACACATTGTTAGAAACGAACGTTGGCGGTAGAATGTTTGGAACCAGCAGTTTCCGGTACCCAGGAAGTTTATTTTGGCATCGTCGGGGCATTCTACGATAATTTTATGCGTTCTACAGTTTCCTCGGAAGTCGTAATGCGGAACTGAACAAAAGTGTAGCGTAAATATTTTTCTTTGTTTTAATTCATGGATACGACCCCGTCTTAAAGAGACAAAATTCGCTGGAGAGCGGTCCACAACCCCTACCACTTGGCTTATTACCTAATTCGGTACACTCGAGTAGACATCCACGCGCGACACAATGTCGAACGAACCGTGATCTCGTAATCCCATCTGCTCCCAACGAACGGGGGGCCATCCAATTGCGAATGGCGTCGTTCACGGTTCCGTGGCGGAGAACTCCGAAATCCCCGTAACGCTCGCGATAACGCCACCGAGCATCGTGCTCTTAGGTGGGCGTCGAGGAAAAAGCGAGAAGAAAGCGGAGAAGAGGCGCGTAAACGGTTTCAGATAGAGCGTCGGAGTCGCTGGCGAGCCACCGAGAGAAAGTAAGAGAGTGTAGGACAGCGGGATAGGTACTGTCGAACAGCCACTTGGGTACAGTACCGGAATAAACCCGTCTGTGGGGGCGCAAGCTCACCTTATCGGCCGTTACTGCCTCGTAAAAACCCTCCCGTTTCACTTCTGCCGTAGCACCGGAGCACCGGAGGCCGGAGCAACCCCTGCACGACGACCGTAAGCAGTCCGCCTCTGCCTTTCGCACCACGGTTCGCTCGCATACGGTTTATATCGAACTATATAAACGGCCGTAATACGATTTCTGCCGGTCGACGCGACCCCTTTTGGTTTTTCCGGCGCCGGGACCACCGCGGACTCGCTCGCTCGGAACAATTAATTTCGGTTAAACGCCACGCGCCCGGTTATTACGCGATAAACCGAGAAATTAATTTCACTCGAAGGGTTTAATTGTTATGAATAATTAATCCGAGCGTCCCGGGATGGCCTACGCCGAAGGTAAGTGACGCGCCGATACCGGGTAGCCCCAACAAGGGGGGCGAAATTCTAGATCGCGTCTAATTTTCATGTGAAAATAATTCCTACGGAAGCTTCCAAAGTTTCATAAAAAAAGAGAGACCATCGATCTCGCGATACCAAGTTCGATGTACCTGTATGTGGCGTTACCACGATAGCAGTTAAAAAATTTCAGGGCTTCGATAGCCCCCGGGATAAAAGGTACTGGATCGCTGTCGGTGGTTTTTTGGCCATTTTTTCGATCGGCCCCGTCGACAGGGTCCCTGTCGAACGGGACAAATTTCCCGGGGACAATTTCGATAGAAATCACGGCGCGGAACAGAGTTGCGAGCGTTGCACCGCTCTGTTGCAAAACGTTGGACGTCGGTGTCTCGGTATCGGGCCGGCGCGGCGGCGCGCGCTTTCACGGCCGTGCGCGAATCGAAACGGCGTGCAATAAACGCGTCATATTTACAATCGTATCCGCGGCGATCTATTATCGACGAAACGCGCGCGACCAAAGTCACCCGGCGGTGGTCGTGCCGCCGCACACTGGACCGTTTCCAGTTGGCCATTACACAATATCGCGCGTACGATGCAACAACACGGCGAAACCGGAGAGTTCATATCGGCGTCATGTATATTATCGCAACGTAATCAAGTGGCTCGCTCCCGTCCCACCCCCCCACCGCCGCCTCTTCTCGCGCTCTCGTCCCCATCCACGCCCTTCGTCGTTGCACAACATCCCCATGATTTTCATTCCCGGTTGTCACGCGGCCTCGCGGAGTTATGGTGCACCGTTTATAAGGGTTATTTGTCACGCGGACCCCGTCGTACCGGTCCTCCTTTCCACCCCCGGGCGTTATATCGGCGCATCCCACCCTCTCAGGCTTTTCTCAGGCCCGATAGACTCGAACTTATAAATAAAACCGGGGCTTCAGCCAATTAAGCCGACCTCGTACGTCTCCGCAAAGTAGAAAATGCGACAGCCACCCCTGTTACGTGTCCGCTGTTACGTTTCCACCCCCCATCCGCTCTCGACTCGAGGCTTCTTTAATTTTCTATCGGTCTCCCCCGTCCCTCTTCCTTCCAGCCTAAAAATATCCGATGTTCCTTGTCTTATACAAATTTACACAAGACATACCGTTTACGTAATTTATTAATTGAAACATAGTAGGCTCGAGAAATAGCGGGGATGCAGCTTCGTAAAAAACGAAATACCTTCGACGTAGGGTCGTAGCTCGCGATCGATACACTCTATTCTCCAGGGTAGGTGGACGAAGAAAGGAGGAAAAGAGTTAGGAATCCCGGGGTTCGTCGCGGTATTCATCTCGCGAGTTCTTTCCGAATTCTAGATGTCTGCCGTCGAATCCTCCTCCGTTCGTCATTCCTTTTCCCCGGGATTCGGTCAGCCATCGTAGCCTCTCACCCCCGGGTTACGCGCGCCCCGTGGGAGATCGTGAGCGAAACGAAGTTAGGGGGAGAATTCCGAGAGGCTGCCACGCTCCCGGGAAAGTAAGAAGAGGCGTGCGTGGCTGTTTAACCAAGGGGGTGGATAAATTTTATGCTGAGACCGTGAAACGTGTTTCATCCGGGGAACGAGAAAGACGATCTCGCCGGGTGGCAGTCGGAGTTAGGGGCGGAGGGAGGCGAAGGGAAACGCTTGAATCGAGTGAAAATATTTCCAACCGTATCTCTCGGGGAAAAAATAAGAATTTCCAACCGTTCCGCTCGATGACCTATGGCGTTTCGCGAGAACAATCTTAAAACTGAGGAATTCGAAAAAGGAGATTACAAGATATAGTTTCGTAACCGCGGCGATCGAACTGCCAAGGCTGGATCGAGACGAGGGTGGAACGTTCGAAGTTTGAATGATAATGGACGGAGGCAGAAGGTATCGACCTCGTGCCAATTTACCGAAAGTATCTTTCGATTCGAGAGGGGGTGGTGCGTTGGAAGCCGTACGTCTCGAAGAAAATAGGGAACGTCGCTATAGGCGAGCCGTGGATTAAAGCGCGAACTCGGGCTAGAACGAGCGTGGAAAACTTCGCGGGGTTAACCGGATACCCTCACGGCTCGTTTAGGAAGCCCCGAATCAGGAGGGATCCTACGAAATGGAAGGAACTGCCGGAGCATCGACGTATCCGACCATAAACAGAGGTCGGAAAGGGGAGAGACTTCGGCTGTTGCCAACTCTAATAAGAACAGCCAATACGTTGATTGCTGCCGGGGATTTGCCGGTATAACTCTCCTCCGCGGTTCGCAAAACACGATGCCAAAGCCTCCCTTCGGGTCGCCCCCGTCTGTCTGTTGCCCGGAGATCGCGCGAGCACGCCAAAACCGGATCATACGCGAAGCCAATCAAATCAAAGTAAGTGAATTGCTCGAAAGCATCGAGGACCAACGTAGGCTCGCGGCGTTGCAACCCCCGGCGCGTGCTAGGCTTTTAGATTCCAAGACGATTACCGATGGCCGCATCAATCCTTAACCCCAGTGTTTCTTGTTTCGTTGATTCGACCGGCCCCGGGGTCAATTTAAACGCGGGCAATTTAGCTTCCACCCGCTACCAACGGTGATGCAACACCAATTACCCGTGTTTGCTTTGCCGTTTCTGAATCACGTCCATCGACGTATCGGGAAGACGAAGAGTTACAATCGTGGAGTTGCGAGGATACGGAAACGGTATGCTAATTCGCCATCCACGGCGGCTCTGAATCGAGAAACGTTCCCCCGCGGTTCGTTAGGGTCCCCGTTTAGCATTTACGTTTATCTAATTTTACGAATATTAATTCACCGAGATGATAATCGTATTTTAGACGAAACATAAAACACAATTACAACCGTATGAATTATTCGCCGTCTAAGACCCTGGGTTCTTATCTCCCCACGTCCAAACACGCTGCCCCCGTCTGCGGGGCTTATTTAATTTATCGACTGGTGTCCCTAAATCACACACAAGGTGTACGAGTAGACCTTGCATCCAATGTATTTTTTCGAAGCATTTTTCTGGGCTCTAGAGCTTCACTATCTGCTTTATGGGACAACTTTTCGAATATTTTTGGAATTTCTACATATTCTACACAAAAATACGCGTTGTTTGCTTTTTTAAATATTAAAATCCACCAATCCGTTCAGCAGTTATGACGTCTTAATCCCTTAACGCTCATATTTTTCGGGTTAACCAACAATGATTAGTTTTCTCTATTGGATTTGTTTCTAAAAATACGGTTTTTGTTAATTATAATGTTGTATCTAACGTATAATTTGAAGGAAACCAAATATTTTCATCCCTTAAACCGTTGGATTAAACAAATATTGTTTTTCAAAACAGACAGACTCGAGCATGAACGTTATGGGGTTAAACATACGCGTGAAATTTCAGGGTAACAGACAGTCATGGTCAGACATTGTACTTTCGGTAAAGAATTTTTTTTCTCGAAAGTGCGTAGGATTTTGGGGGTATGTCTATTGACCAAAAATAATTGTGATTGACCCTTGCAACTGAAAATAATTTTTTCAGAACAATTTGAAACTTTTCAATTTTGGCACCTACCCCCTGTCGATTTTTCTTAAAAGTTTCTTTTTAATAACTCTGTTCGACGCTTTACGGAAATGTTGTTCAATACTTTTCTG